CTTGAGTGGGAAGCCCTCCCGCCGCCTTCGACAAGTCACCACGCCGTGGGATGGACCACAAATACAAACCGCCGGAGGGCACCTCATCACACCAGTCGGGAGATGCACTGCTCGCGTCGAGATCCACGGTGAGACGTGCCCTGTGAAGTTCGTCGTTCTGCAAGACTATTCAAGGGACGTTATCCTCGGAATGGACTTTCTCTGCGAGTATGGCGCCGTCATCGACCTCGGGGCAAACCAGCTGACGCTGCGAAAGCCTGTTTTACCGCCGGTGGAGACCAACACGACGTCAACCGCGATCCGAGTTATCGCCGACCATGTGAACTTACCGCCGCGGTCGAGTGTTTTTGTCACCGTCATAACCGACGCAGCCATGCACGGTGAATCTCTTCTGGAAGGCAGCGTCCAACTGCTCCCTGAGAAAGGAATTGGCGTCGCACGAGGCGTAACGGATCTCCAAGAAGGACGTACAACTGTTCTTGTAACAAACTTCCGAGAGGAGCCGCAGCACCTAATGAAGGGTACCACTGTGGGCCACATTGAGGAGCTTCAGGCGCCAGTCGTGGTAACCGCAATCTCCGTAGAAACCTCGTCGTCACAGCAGAACAGCACGCCGCCGCCGCCGATCGACTTTGACCCCGAGCTCCCAGCTCCTAAGCGCCGGCAACTGGTTGATCTCCTCGCTGAATACCGTGACTGTTTTGCGCGTCGTCGAAAGTTCGCCAAACACCAATGCGAAACATCGCGTTATTACCGACGACGACGCGCTCCCTGTCCATCAGTCGCCGTATCGAGTCTCCTTAAAGGAAAGGAATGTGATTCAGGATGAAGTCCAAGGAATGTTCGACGACGACATCATTCAACCCTCCAGAAGTCCATGGGCGTCCCCAGTCGTCCTTGTAAAGAAGAAGGACGCAACCCTGCGGTTCTGCGTGGACTATCGTCGACAGAACGCTGTGACGAAGAAGGACGTCTATCCGCTCCCCCGCATCGACGATACGTTAGACCGACTGCGCCACTCCCGATATTTTTCGTCGATGGATCTGAAGAGTGGCTACTGGCAGGTTGAAGTCGACGAACGCGACCGGGAGAAAACTGCCTTCGTCTCTCCCGATGGACTCTACGAATTCAAAGTGATGCCGTTCGGGCTTTGTACTGCGCCAGCCACCTTCCAGCGTGTCATGGCCACCGTGCTGGCAGGTCTGAAATGGCAGAGCTGCCTCGTCTACCTCGACGACGTCGTGGTATTTTCACGAGATTTCGACGAGCACCTGAAACGACTTCCGGCCGTGCTTCAAGCCATCAAGACCGCCGGCCTGTCACTCAAGCCAACGAGGTGTCGATTCGCCTATGGTGAACTTAAGTTCCTTGGCCACGTCGTGAGCAACAAGGGTGTTCTCCCTGACCCTGAGAAGACCCGTGCCGTGGCTGCATTTACGCCGCTGTCTGACAAGAAGGCCGTGAGAAGATTCCTCGGACTTTGTGCCTACTACAGACGATTTGTTCGGGACTTCGCCAAGCTGTCCGCACCGCTGACGCACCTCACGAAGGACGCCATAAAGTTCGAATGGACAGACGAACACCAGCGGTTATTCGATGAGCTGAAACGAAGACTCCAGACGCCCCCGATTCTTGGCCACTTCGGCCAGTTCGCTGATACAGAGATCCACACGAACGCCAGTAACACCAGACTTGGCGCGGTGCTTGTTCAAAGGCAGGACGGGACAGAGCGAGTCATCGCATACGCGAGTCGGACGCTGTCTAAGGCGGAGAGGAACTACTCTACAACTGTAAAGGAGTGCCTTGCTGTCGTCTGGGCGATAACAAAGTTTCGCCAATATCTATATGGAAGTCCTTTTCGCGTGGTCACAGACCACCACTCGCTCTGCTGGCTCGCGAATCTGAAAGACCCCTCCGGACGCCTCGCCCGGTGGAGCCTACGACTGCAGGAGTTCGACATGACCGTTGTGTACAAGTCCGGCCGGAAGCACCATGACGCCGACTGCCTGTCAAGAGCTCCTGTCGAGGCCGGTCCTGCCTGTATCGAAGACGACGACGATGAGTGTTTCCTCGGCGCTTTGGACGTCAGCGACATGGCAGCACTCCAACGAGACGACCCTAAACTGCGAGCGCTCATCGAGCACTTAGAGGGACAAGCGAGTTCGGTTCCCCGTGCTTTCTTAAGAATCCTCCATACATTCTCCATGCGGCGAGGGGTGCTGTACAAGGAGAACTTCGTCAACAACAACACAGCATGGCTGTTGGTTGTTCCTGCCAGCCTTCGAGACGAAATATTCCAAGGATGCCATGACGACCCAACGGCTGGACACCTTGGCTACCGCAGGACGCTCGCCAGGATTCTAGAAAAGTACTACTGGCCGAGGCTACCGAAGACCGTTCACCTATACATTCGATCATGCCACGAGTGTCAGCGACGCAAGAAACCGCCAACGAAGCCGTCAGGACTTCTGCATCCGATTTCTCCCCGTTTATGCCGTTCCAGCAGATCGGAATGGATTTACTTGGCCCTTTCCCATCGTCAACGTCGGGAAACCGCTGGATTATCGTCGCCACCGATTATCTCACACGTTACGCCGAGACGAAAGCCCTTCCAGCAGGCACGGCTGTTGAAGTCGCCAAGTTTTTCATTGAGTCCATTGTCCTCCGGCACGGCGCCCCAGAAGTCCTCATCACAGACCGTGGATCTTCGTTCATGGCCCAGCTGACGCAAGAGATCCTTCGTCTCAGTGGCACCGGCCATCGTCGAACCACTGCATACCACCCGCAGACCAACGGGCTGACCGAGCGACTCAACAAGACAATCGCCGATATGATCTCTATGTACGTCGACGTAGAGCACAAGACGTGGGACGAGGTGTTGCTCTATGTCAATTTCGCCTACAATACGGCGGTTCAGGAGACCACTGGATTCACCCCTTTCCAGCTAGTACATGGTCGGAAGGTAACGACCATGCTGGACACAATGCTGCCCCATGAGCCATCTGACAATGAGAGCGACGACGCCCAGGCGGTTGCTCAACGCGCCGAAGAAGCCCGCCAGCTCGCCCGACTCATGATTCAAGACCAGCAACACGTCGACGCGGGCCGCTACAACCTTCGTCGCAGGGACGTTCCCTTCCAGCCCGGAGACAGGGTGTGGGTGTGGACGCCCATCCGTCGCCGCGGCCTCAGTAAGAAACTGCTGAAACGGTACTTTGGACCATACAAGGTACTTCGTCGCCTCGGCGAGCTGAACTACGAGGTGATGCCCAACGGAACAAGAACATCATCACGCCGCCCGCTACGACCTGAAGTCGTCCACGTCGTGCGCCTGAAGCCGTACTACGCTCGATAGGACTGTGTATCTTATGTGTTTCAAATGACTCTTTAGTTTGCCGTTCTTTTTATGTGCTTTATTTTGTTTTGTGTTGCATCGGGGCGATGCACCTTTTAAGGGGGGAGTATAATGCCGCGCGCCAAGTAGGCAGCGCGGCCGTAGCCAAACGGTTATCGCGCTTGCCTCCCACGCGAAGGGCCAGGGTTCGATTCCTGGACGCGGCTACGCATTTTTGTTTACACTGTAATGTGATGTTCTGGTGAATTCGAGAACCGTCTAGCTGATTCGAGGTTAGAATGTTCTACGCGTCGAACCTTCTACATCAAATGCTCCAGAAGCCAACGCGTGTACAAAAGCGGCTCCGCTGGCAAGCAGGAGTCGATTTCGCCCCAGCGTTCGACTGTGCTGCTACGCCGACTTCGACGCCCGCGACGCTCTGTTATTATCTTCGTTCTCCCTTTATTTTTGGCACAAGTTCGCCACATTAAACGTTTATTTCTTCCTGTTTATTTCCTTTTATTTTGGTCACCACCCGGGCCGTGACCAAAATAAAATGATCAACCCGGGATCAACTCCTTACTCGTCCCAGTTTCCCCCTTCACCCGAGCCGTAGTCGTGGGGGGGTTGGAGATTGATAAAAGCAATGATCTCCTCCAACGACCTATATAGGGTTTATTTGACGAAAACGCTCGATGAAGAGGGAATGTACAATATCAAAAGACTCGCTGTCCCTCCTCGGCCACCTTTTTAAACGACGGGGTAGTTGTCGAATTGCTTTGGGGTAGTGTTACATCGAGTCAGTTTTTCTACCCCTATTTATACAAACCTTTTCGTATCTCACAACCTTTTTTTTTTAATTTTCAGCTCTGTGTGTGTACAGTGCGCATATTAATCTTTGTTAGCCCGCAATTTAAAACGGAGTTGTGAAAATGTTCCGAAAACTACCCGCAGTAGCAATATGTGATATGTCTGCCCACTCGTCTTGAAATCAAGACACGCTGTAAGCATAAAATCATCTTCGTTAGAAGATTATTTTATGCTTTATGGGGGCCCTTTCGGGTTACGAACTGTGCGTATAGGAGTCTTCTGTGGCAGCGCATGCGCAGCGCGTATGCCGGTGGGCCCATATTACTGTGTCGGATATGCAACAACGGTTGCCTAAAACTCTCCGCTGTCTGAAGCACGCCTCTTCCTTGTATGACGGTCCCGCCACGTTGAGCCGCAGTCGCACTGCTCACACATCGTACGCAAAAGACGCGGAGTTTCTCCGCAGACATTATGACAGAAATATCCGCGGACACGCCCCAGGCATCTGAAAAAGCTCGCCGTGCACACGTGTGCTTTCCGCGTGTCATCGGAAAGGTTTTCTTTTATTACCGATGTTACAAGGCCGTCCTACGTGGAAAAGGAAACACTGCTCACACAGCGTTTGCAGTCTCTTTTTGTATGTTTTATTAGCGACGTGACCACGGGTGTAGTCACACGAAAAATTGTCCGCAGACACGTTCTAAAACATACGTAGTTATGTATGAAGCAAACCTTCTGATTTGAACATGGGTGCATGGAGCGTGCACGAAACACCACGTCTTTTGTGCGATGTACGAACAGTGCGGGACTGTAGCTTCAGCGTGCGAGCGGAGGAACGACTCGGGGAACGGCGAGAATACTTCGAACAATTTATTTAACAACAGTTACTAAAACAACTTCCAGAGCGACGAAAATAAGAACGGTAGTGACCGTGATTCGAGGCTCCAAACTTTCGGTACACCACACTTCGAGACGACAGACATCCCGTGGACGAGGGGAACGCACGGAACAACAGCTCCTGCGCCTTTGCGTGGAATCGCGGTTGCCCCTCTTCGGGCACAATGTTCCCCGAACTCCCGTCCGGTGTAGCGAGATTCTTTTTTCTTTGTGCGGTCGGCATTTTACTAGTGCCTACCTGCGCATACGTTCACGCAGGGTACAGTATACAAAAATCAATCTATACACGCGAAATAGAAATGTACACCTTGTGTAATTTTTTAAGTATTTCGACATAAATTAATTGTACAGTCGGGATAGTGTTACTTTCCCGTTTCAAGGATGTAACGAAATACAACAGAAAAAAAAAAAGAATAAATCTGCTTGAACGTACGAGTGCTGAAGGGCTTCCAGAAAATCTAACTTGATCTCTGTCGAAAGCACGAACAAATCCAAGGGTCCTTCCTTTTAACGTCAACTTACTCGCTATGCTATCTTTCTGTGGGCGCAAAGACTCCTACAAGAGAAACAACATAAACTATTCGGGGCACATCACCAACACGCCTTTCTCTCTTCTCTACAAATACACTTCTCCAAAATGCACGCGTACCGCACTACAAGACAAGAGACCACACACATTTCATAATTATAATCATCGTCAATACATCAATCTGATAGCCGACGCCATGGAATGATCACGAACCAGAGCCAGGTCCGACGACAGCTTCTCGTGCTCCCAACGCCAGCGTTCATGCAAAGCGTGCATCGATACACTGACCAGAAGTTCCGCACGGACAAACTAACTTTTTAGCATTTTTCTGCGTATATAGTAAAATTCCGGCTGTCTCAATGATTTTTTTTTTTTTTTTCGAAACAGTGTCACTTTTTTTAGTGCCTGACATCGACAACACACGATCCTAAGAACAAAGGGGAAAGAAAATGAATGCAATTAAAATGTTATGGGGAATTTGCGTGGCAGAATTGGAGCGGTTTTGAGCGGTTTCGTTTTTTGTTGGTACCTTCTTGGGCGTGCAAACGCGCGCTCGCAACTTCTGCACTGCCTGCACCACGTGGCCTGCACTAAAAGAGCGAGCGTTGTGCCCCCCCCCCCCCCCCCCCCCTTCCCGTTTATGGATCGCTCCAAATACACCGAGGTAATAAACCCTTTTTGAAAAACCCCATCAAGCACCATTGGCGGTTGGCTTTTTGTCGGAAAAGAAAACATATTCGAGCCCTCGTCCATCGCCAAAGCAGCACTCGTTCTCGATATAAGAGCTGAGCCGAGCTCATGCCGGACGCTAAAGCAGCTATCGTGTCGCATACATGGTCAGAGTGCGTGCCCGAACAATGGCGGACCCGTACAACAAGCGCACCAGCCACTAGATGGCGCCCAATTTTGAAGAGGGTCTATTCCATATTAGAGAAGAGTCGTGCAAAGCCGAGTCGCCGTCATTTTGGTATCATGCACTCCATGATGACCACGAAGAAGAAGCGTTGTTGCCCAGAACAGACAGACACCTCAACATCAAAGCGCCTTAATATAGGGGCAGTTGTAACGGAATAAACACAATTTAGAGTTTCTCGAAAATATGTGGGTATTCTCAGAATGATATTGCGCTATCGGGCCCGCAGAAACGATTTGCTAAAACCCCCTGTTAACTTTCATTCAGAATGCGAATAGAGGGTCAGCGCCAGAGCGAGGAATTTCGGCCGAATTTCAATATCGGCATTGTCCCGGGGACCCCAGGAAAGGACTGAAGGTTCTCGCTAGAGTACGCTGGAATTTTGATTAATCCGCATCCTAAAGAGAAACACAAAACGACCTGATGTAAAGAGTAATTTTAATAAAATATCGATTCGCTGTCGTTTAATGTCTTCTAAACATATTTAAACGATCGCTTCTCAAACACTGCATAAAGGTCATTGCAAAGTTGTTTTTTTCTCGCTCCAAGGAAAAAGAAACTTTGTCTGATATATAGAAATACACAAAATCATATATACAATACCGCAAGAGGACAAGCACATGAAAAAAGACAACAAGCGCCACTCGTAACTGTAAAGCAATTCTGTTGTGTGCATGGTAATACAGCCGGAAGTCAGTCGGCCCCAATGGATTAGCGTCTCAGTTGCAGAGGAAAAGTTTAGCCAGTGCAATACAACCGCTAGCCTGGGGTCTTTAATGTGCGCCACGCAGCAGCGATACACGACCGAACGCCGCCGGTTCGATGCTCATCCAGATCAAAAAGGGCAGAGGTGGGGATTGAATCCAAGATCCCTGGGTTCTGCAGCGCGAAATTTCGCTCCACGCGTACAACCTCTACGGCACAAGCACAAGGACTAAGTTTCATATACGAATTACCAACCAAGAGAAAGTTTAAACTTCTGGACCTCCAGCTATCCTTCCAAGACAATCACACCTGTTAAACCTACTTACCACGCTAGAAAAAGACCAAAAGGAAAGGAAAATACTTTTCTTTATTTGGCCTATTTTAAGCGAATCAAACTTGGTGCAATATTGCAAAGCTACTTAAAAGCGGCCTTGTTGAAGTCCTGTCCAGAGACAGCAAGGATAATTTTTGGTGCACTAGCGTAAAGGATACAAGAATCTGGGTATTTCAGCTCGTTAGCTTTTGACACAGTTGAATGCATAGCAACACAAAATGGAACTAAACAAAGAAAGATTGCCAGAACCGTCGGCCTAAAGATTGTACCTGGCATCCATAGACTCTCCCAAAACTTGAAAAAAGTAGCCTCCAGGTAGGGAGTACCAGCAAATAAACTCATCGAAAGAACGTGCCAGCAGACAAACACGCCAAAAAGAATGTGCAGACCAATGCAGGGTTCAACATACCAATACATATATGTAAACTGGATCCGTGGGGGTCATATCTGATATCTTCTTTTCTTACAAGAAAAAGCACGTGGGATCATATGGCCGCTGTGTGAACGTCAGATTGCGGCGCATGAACTTTCATTCAGGTCATCTCCATTATGGCTTTACACGTCAGATTTCAAATGTGTCCCTTTGTTCTCCGACAGTAAAGTTCTAAAGCGTTTCGGCTACCGGATGACCAGAGAGCTTTATGAGGCAAAAACCAAGAAGGCTCAGGTTGACCAGTGGATCAGTGCGCCATCATTAGCACTGACTGTGAAACAGCTGACATACTTCAACGTCTTTTCTTAATTATTTCTGTCCTCTTCGAGGTGTTTAATTTTTCTTAAACTTTTATCGCCTTTATCTCTCTTCCCCTTTCAACATTTTGTTTTAGATAAAAATAATTACATATTTAATAATCTAATTCCGTTAATTTTTTTTATCATTACACACCTATCTGCAACATTACGCTTCTTTTTCTATAGTTTTTAATCATCACATTCCACGCTCCCTTCTCGTCAGCGCTTGTCCTGTCTCTTTCATGTTCTTGTCCTCTTGCGCTTTTGTATATACGATGTTTGACCAACTATCCCAGCAATTGATTTCATTACACAAAAACCTAGTGTTTCTAATATAAACTTACGCATAACATATTGGAATGATTTTTTTTGCATGCTGATACTATATTTTTTTATCTCTCATGCGCAAATGTGTCCCCCCCTTTTTTTCCTAAACACGCACGCACGCACGCACGCACGCACGCACGCACGCACGCACGCACGCACGCACGCACGCACGCACGCACGCACGCACGCACGCGCGCGCGCGCGCGCGCGCGCACACACACACACACACACACTCTTCCCCGTTTTTTTAGCTAATAAAAACAACACGTTGTTTCTCCTAATGCAAGCATTCCTCTCGTTCTCGTGACACGCCCAACGAGTTTACTTCTGGCGATAGACATAGGTTATACTGAATTGACCTCATAAATAATTTTAAAAAGTAAAAAAAAAAAAAAGACCAAGTGATTGTGTACACATTAGCCGCGACGCTCCAGCAATATTCATTCGCAGGTCGACGTAAATACAATTTCTGTCGCGTTATTATCTTGAATCCTACATTAAAACTGAATAGGTACGGCTAGGAATGACACAAATGAAAACGATTCCAACTTCACGTCACCGAACAGCGAGACAGACACGAGCTAAGAGTAATAAAATTGGCTAAAATAGAGAGTGGACACAGGTTCGTCGGTGCGCTAAATGCTGGCTCTATCCTCGGACTGGAGTAGCTACACACTCAGTTCCAACAATCCGCTAGGTCCAAATGCACGCGCCAGAACTTTCACGCTAATAAACACAACGCAAAAATGGTTTTTCAACAAGCAAGAGGAGACTCGGGCTGTTCACGATGAGGACAATTATATGGAAGATTAACGAAATAACGACCGGCGCGCAGTGCTCTAATCTCGGCACCGGGAGACTCGTTCCGGGAAGCTTTTAAAGATAAAGTAATGCCAGCGTCGTTTTGCGAGGTTTCTATTTTGGAAGTCCACGCGAAAAGACTTTCTGATTGTAAAACAGACGCAGTAAAAATAAATTTAAAAAAAATTACAGTAAAAAAAGGAGGTGCCAAAGTGTGTGAGCGTTCGACGCTGGAGAATCATGTGCGCGGGGGAAAAAAAAAGTCTAATACAAGTAGCTTGGAAATAGACGCGTCTATACATATCATTCGACAACCTCATGCGTGCTTTCAAGATCTAACTCGACTAAGACGGGCATGCGCGATATAGTCGCGTAGACTTTCTGAGTACATTGAGATGGCTCAGGGTCATGTAACCCATGACTCGATTATAAACATTGGAACGTTCTAGAAGTCTGTACAAAACGAGCGTTATATTCTTTTCTCTCTTACAGCGAGAGGTTGCTCCGCACTGTACATATACATACTGTGACGTAATCGGGCACCTGGCCCTTAGATCCAAGAGCTTGAAAAGACCAGACGCACGAGTTCACCACTATCACAACCATTACTCGTTCAGAGATGAGAGCACGAAACCGAGTCATCTTTTCGTTTCGCCAACACAGTAGGCACACCGTCGGCCCCACACACTCTGCCTCGAAAAGGGCGAGCGTTTCTTTGAGGACGAAGTGCCTGAATACCGAAGGACCTAATGGAAGCCAACCTGTTACTATATCCGTAGTTTCAAAGAATTCATTGGTAAATCAGGACGATTCGTTAGTTCCTAGTACGCGTCCTTTCATCAAATCCTTAAAAAAAGGGCAAGGCAGACATTTTTAAGGTTGCTTTGCTTGACGCTCCTCGGTCTGACGTCCACCATGCGCTCTCGTCTCCTCTTCTCCCCCACTTTCTCGGCGCAGAGTAGGAAACAGGTAAAGAATGCGGTAGCAGTTCCGCGTCCAGCACAAGCTCGCTGCCTTCCACAGCGTTTTGAATGTGCGTGCACCGAAGTGTTATCAGAGGCAGAAAACTCGCACTGGAGCGGAGCATGCATTCTTAACCAGTCGCCGACTGTAATGGCTGGCAGTGAGGAATAACAGGAGGAACAGAAGGAGAAGAGCAACAGATGTCGCACATCCTTCAGGTTCGGGTGCCCACGAGCACGTGTGTACCCGTGTTCGGCGTTTGCTCTCAGCACGCGCCTGGCGTTGAGCTTTCGAGTCTACGGCATGCAGGGCCCGTCCTTGTCGATCGACCAACTCTGACTGGTGGCGGGAAGAGACGGCGGCACATCCGATCTGTCGCACCGACGACTGTCGTGCAAATAGGCTCCATTATTTTCATAAGAAAAAAAAAATATATATATATATATATGTATGCCCGAAAAGTGCTGCGAACGACTCTCACCCGGTGTCATCAGAACCGAAGATCTCTCAAAGCGTGCAATAATTTCGGCAAGACATGTTTCAAGAGTTTTAGTAGATTGTACGGTGCGGATTGCGAGCCTAGCGGGCGTGTGCTCAATCCATGCTTCGAAAAGACGGCACGAGCCCCCGCTGACAACGCAAAGCTATAACAAACGGCATACTAAAAAAAAAAAAAAAAAGGAGCTTTTAGTTAGGGTGCTTTCATGTGGCGCTTTGCTTAGGGTGGAGACATCTGGCCATTTTGTTCCCACTTTTACATTTATTTTTGTTCAGAAGCGCGTGAAAGAGTGTGTCCCTGCACGCGTCTGTGGCACTGACTGTGCTATGGCGACATTTTGTTTTCGTCGATTTCTTTGTATTTTCCCCGTGAGCGCGTGCTGTCGGCATCGGGTACTACAAAGGGTGGCATCACTTTAAACAGAAAGTCATTGAGGCACCCTACTTTTAGTAGACTGTACCCTAGAGTTTCGCTTTGCTAGCGGGAGCTCGTGCCGTCACTTCGAAGCATGGATTGAGCACGCGGCCACAGGGGCTGATTTCCGTAGTGCACGATCTACTAAAACTTTCTATTGACAAAAAGCCTATAACGCTTCAATAAAACGCAAAAAAAAAAGTTATCGTTTGAAAAATGCGAACGATAATTAGACGACTTTTTTGCCTGAGATTTCTTTCATACAGAATCTAGAAGGAATAGACAAATATACCCAGAAACAGAGCCAAAAAGCAACCAGATCAAAATCAAACAAGAGAAAAATAAAATCTGACTTCACGACGCAAGTGTACACAGCGTGCAATGTGACTCTAACCATTGATTGAGCATTCTGACAACTTGAAACTGATCTCACGACGTGCTACAGAGTCTAACCAGTGCTCTCGCCAAAAAAAGTGGCGCTGGCTTTGGATATTTGTCGCCGCCGCACCTGACGAGACGAGAGGTGAAACTAAAACAGGCTACTGATTTTGTTCCAGCCCTGTACACACACACGCACGCGTACAGCTACTAAAACGTTACGTAGGCTCCTAACGTGACAAGTGATGGAAAAGAACGACTCGAACGTGACTAAACACATGTATGGAGAGTTACTGCAGCACAAGAAAGGCAAAGTACAGCCAGCTTCGATCATATCATTATTACTGAGTGATCAAATTATTCTAGCATCAAGCGTCAAAAAAGAAACTCGGGCCGATTGCGAACAAATGCAATATTATGAATAAAAAAGCTTTTAATGCTGTGCCTGCCTTCCTTAAGGTGCTCGTTTATTGTACTACCCGCGTAGGCGATAAAAAAAATTCCCACTTGGTCCTATGTGACACAGCGTAAACAGTGAGTAGAACCGTGAGACGAACTTCATGGTCTCCCCCACGTACACTCACGACACGGGAAGACCCAGAGCGAACACCATTAATGTTTCAGGCGTGCCGGATGTTCGACGTTTAAAATGTGGATATGCTAGATTGGACTGACATTTACGCGCGCGCCACGCAGTGGACGACGCGGGACGACTCCTCTGTCGCTTTGATCCCAACAGTTCGCACCCTCGCAGTCGGCGGGACATCAGCACAAATTGCAACATACCGAAAACAAGAAGAACTACCTGCGTCCGAAACCTATCACCCGACCAGTCCGTGTGACATCACTAGGCTCGAACGCTCGCTGTCGTTGAGATATGCCCAAACAGGTCTGCCGACCGGAGCGCCGCGCCGCGTTCGCAGGCACGCGCACGACACTCCCGGACGAAGGCCGAAGCCTCCGGTTATCACAGGCACGCGAACAACACCACCGCCCTCCGAGGACTCCGCGTCGGGTACCGCTGCTTTAAAGAGGCGAAGATCCCGAGGGCCGAACCTCCACAGTGACTGCTGCAACGGTCTTTCAGCCTCTGGGCATGCGTCTGGAGGGCCTGCGCCTCGACACGGAGGCGGCGCGGCGCAGCGGTTGCCCTCGAGTGCTGCTGGAGCCTCCGAAGGGCAGCGTCCACCAATGGTTGCGCGACAAGAGCCGTTGCTTCTCACGCAACCGCTCTGTGTAGGGCAGCTCGGCGCGCGCCATGTCCAGGCAGAGCCGGTTGTTGACGCCCGATCGGAGCACGATGCTGTACACGTCGTCGCTGTACTCCCGCGTCTCGTACGCGACCGTCCGGCCGGAGTCGAGCTTCTCGACGCAGTGCTCGTAGAGTAGGTTCTTCCACAGCTGGAGCCCGTCCACTTCCTGGCGCATTCGCTTGCGGCCGTACTCGTCAATCATGCGCTCCAGCTTCCGCTTGAAGTGCAGGTATAGCACCTTGTCGCCCGCGTTGTACTCCTCCATCTCACGACGGAGCTCCTTGCTCGTCTCGGGCGCCTTCTGCATGCGTTGGTTGTGCTCGAAGTAGACCACGTCCTGCGTGTCCCAGCACAGCAGGTCCCTGAGCAGGATGAGAGACTCGTCAAAAAGCTCGGCGATCAGCACCAGGTGGAAGCTGTCTTCGATCTGCTGGATGGCCGAGTCCAGGTCCGACGTGTTGGTGAAGCCGGACGCGTCAAAACCCAGGTCGAAAAGCATCTGGTTGCGGCCGAACCGGGACGCGTAGCGGTGCTTGTCCAGCCAAAGCTGCTTGGCGTCGTTCTTCAGAAAGGCGTCCAGCGGGACGCCCGTGTGGTTCTCCAGGTGGTAGTAGAGGTACAAGGACTCAAAAAGGTTCACGGGGTCCCTAAGGATGGTGATGAACACGGTGTCCGGAGGCATCAGGTGCTTGATGTCGTCGCTGCCGAAGCGCACGTGGTGGCAGAAGATGTTGAAGCCCCAGGGCGGAATCATGTCCGGGGGAATCATGGACCTGCGCAAGAAGCGAAAGGAAAGGTCGCGGTTGGACACCGAGTGGACGTAGCGAAATCAAACGCTTCTCCCACATAACTATGCTAACAGACACTATAGTAACCATCCTCAGACCACGGTGACCATAGAGTGGGTACCGGGGCATCAGGGCATAAAGGAGAACGAGCTTGCTCATGAGCTCGCCCGCGGAAACCTCAATCCGGGCGTCCCCATCCCATGGCCCCATTTCTAGGACCCCTACATTCACAGGGCATTTATGCATGAACAGAGAAAGAGGACACTTAAAGAGCTCCGAGAAAACGAAACATAACTAAACAGCCCCTCTTACCTACTAAACAGAGAAGACCCAATTATAGTGCGGAGAGCGCAGACTACAAGCCTCATGACCGAACATCTTAGACACTACATCAGCAGCGCAAAAGCACACCACAGTGCAGCACCTGCAGGTGGTACCCCAGCGATGCCCATCAGCTATGGGACCGCCCCAACGTAACTGCCACAACTCAAACAGCACTACAAACACTTTCAGCCAGACTTAGCCTGGGAGCTAGGAGGTGTGGGCCAATCCCCCTGCCGGGACCGAGCTAATCCTCTGGCCGCTCTAACCGTTCATTCACACTGGAAGCGGATCCGCGTTCACAAAGCGGTTGCGAACGCGGTTGTATAAAGATCCAGTGCAATTGCACGCGCACTCGATGACATCAAGTGCGCGTGCAATTGCACTGGATCTTTATACAACCGCGTTCGCAACCGCTTTGCGAACGCGGATCCGCTTCCAGTGTGAATGAGCGGTTAGTTCAGCACTTTAAAAACGTGCAGGGCGATGAGTGGTAAGGAAAATGACCCAGGGCGAATTTTTCGGTGCTAATAAATGTTTACTCTCTCTTTCTCTCCAAACCAGATTGAAAAAAAAACAAAAAAAAAAAACAAACATATATTACTATACATTGGTCTTCTTTGCCAGGCCTGACCAGAAATTTCCTGTTGTTTTTAATGGCAAAATACAAGGGGGATCGGCGGCCGAGTGGGCTATATGCTCAGAAACAACTCTTCTTGGCAATGAAGTGAAAGCCGTAACTGTGCGTCTGTGCACATTGAGCGCCGATCACAGCTGTGCTCGCGCGGTCTTCACTTCTGGAATGCCAGAAAAAGCGCGGAGCACGTGGAGCGAAAGCTCGCGCTGCAACCCAGGGATCCTGGGTTCAGTCCCCACTTCTGTCTACCCCTGTCCGTTTCGACCTGGATGATCATCGTACCGGCGTTCGGTCGTGTATCATTACTGCGTGACGCACGTTAAAAACCCAAGGCTAGCTGTTGTACTGCACTGACTAAAGCTCTCATCTACAGCTAAGAGCCCAGACGCCTATTGAGGCTGAATAACTTTCGGCTGTATAATAATAATGATACACACATTATTATTATAAAATAGAAGGGGTAGGGCGATTGTTGGCCGAGTGGGCTAGCGCATACCAGCTCAGAGCACATGGAGTGAACGCTCACGCTGCAGAACCCAGGGATCCTGGGCTCAATCCCCACCCCTGCGCGTTTTGATCTGGATGAGTATCGTACCAACGTGCGGTCGCGTATCGTTGCTGCGTGGTGCACGTTAAAGACCCCAGGCTTGCGGTTGAACTGCACGACCGGCTAAATTGGTCATCTACAGCTGAGAGACAAGTCGCCCGTAATGGTGCGGCATCTCACTAACAGAAAACGCGATGTAAGTTGTCACATGACTACTTTCAGACCTTACATTTTCTAAAGTCACCTCAGCCCTTCAACCCCCCCCCCCCCCCCCCCCCCTTTTTTTTTTTTTTTCCTCTTCGGCGATTTCCGGACCAGCACCTCCTCGATAACGTAGAACCCAAGGTCAACGCAAGGAAGGCGCGGGCTTGACTACATGAGTGCAGCGTTCAGCTGAGAGTTCAACAAGAACTCTAATCGAGCGCTGCCGCACCACTCGTTTTCAATTTCTGTCCCACGTCGGCCTCTTTACGTGACGCAGGCAATTTAGTATTGAGGGCTCGGAATCTATATCGTGTGTTCTCCGGAGTGCCCCACATTGCAGAATATTCTCTGGCAAGTGGAACTTTCCGACAGTACTATATATATATATGAAAAAAAAGTGAAAGCCGTTTACAACTCCCTGTAACGCCGAATTGGAGCGCAGCTCTTGAGGAGGAGGAGGGAAGGGTTCTGAGGGGAGGGTAGACCCCTCCTCCTCCTTCTCCTCCTCGTCCCCTCATTCTTTAATATGCTCCGGGGGGGTCACCTGACCTAGGGGGGAGGGGGTCACGTGACCTCGGGGGGGGGGGGGGGGGGGGGGTCACGTGACCTCAGGGAGGGGGGGGGCCCCGTGATCTCGGGGGGTCACGTGACCTGGGGGGTCGCGTGACCTGGGGGGTCACGTGACCTTGGTTACGCCGACGGCGACGGCGACGCCGTTCAAGCCGGAAACGGGCGCCTAAAAGCTGCGCTCTAAAAAAAGAAAAAAAAAAAGTTCGAACAGCTTGCTTTAATTCCAGAACTTTTCCAAGTTCAAACATGCAATTAAGAGCAAAGCAAAAAAAAAGTAAAAAGATTGTCGTTGTCAGTTTACGAAACATAGAATGTCAGCGACCCTGGTGTCTCATTATTAGTCTGCACCAGTGTTGCGCCCGTTACCGGAAAATAGGTAACGAAATGGCGTTATACTCGTTAGCTTGGAAAAAAGATAACGCGTTATAGAGCTCCGTTGACATTTTGCAAATGTAACGAAACACCGGTGTCTTTACTTCCCATGATTAACGGACGTTGCTTTTACGTTAGTTTGTCTTACCTTGGGGGGGGGGGGGGGTGTTTCACTGTTAGTATGGGACAACTGTTTATAATTAACCGTCTCTGTAAACTTCGTACACTTGTTCAGAGTGATTATTTATTTATTTGTACTTTGCAGCGCCGGAGCATTACAGCAGAGGAGGGTGTATAGATCAGACTCGTACGTTGGAAGCTCACACAAACAGCACAAGCAGGCAGGAAAGATGGTGACGATTTTCTGGTAATGGTCGCCGTTCAATGCTGCGATAACCTTGCCACTTGTTAGCTGGGCCAGCTTGTTTCTCTGGCCTCGGCAGGATGTGTAATGTACATCCTCGGACAAGTGACGCTTCGCGAGCAGGATTCGGAGAATTAAACCTTGCTCATAACACGAGCCTAAAAAAAAAAAAAAAAAAAAAAAAAAAACGCAAAAAAAAAAAAAAAAACAACGACCGTATGCGCGCCACGAAACGGACGCAAAGTATACCTCTTCATAAAATCAAAGTTAATCCGGTAAAATAAACGTTACTTAATTCCTTCACAAACCAATGTCACATTTCCAATCAACGACGCGTCAGCAGACGGTCACCGCTTGTTTTGGTTCAAAATTCAAAGCGTGGGAACGTCAACGCTTCCAAAATTTGAGTTCATCCTTTCTGTGGTTGACCGAACGAGAATTTATTTGTCTCGATGAAAAGGATGTGACAAGCTGGAGCAGCTAGGGACGCTGAAGAAAAAATCCTTTGAGCGGCGGCAGACTCGCCTTCTGAACGGATGTCTCTTGCCAGCGAGACGGCTGCTCAGGATACGCCGACGGTGATCTTAGCAGCTTCTATACAAAGACTGCACCAACGACGCTTAGGGGTTCAGCGCAGCGATAATCTCGCACCTTTTGGGGCCGGTCGTGGGAACTACAGCCACTAAATGAGCTGCGCTTAGAGTATCGGCACTCCGGTCCCCGTTCCCCGACATTGTTGTGAGAGCCGCCATTTTGGCTCCTATGCAGAGCAAACGCAACTGTCGATCGTCCTGATTCAGAAGTGCGACTTCCTCGGCATTAGAATTGGTGTTAGGAAGCTCATGCAATATTGCTTTGCTTTGTCGCGAAATGTTTAAACATTTGTGCAGAGCGGAAACGCGTTTCCTGTGATTTTAGATAAAGCTTCAGATAACTGGCAACCATGATTTTAAGACACAATATAGCGAAGTGTCGTTACTCTGAAGCGTAGCTTATTTAGTGGCACAAGTGGGAACGTTAAAAGTGCCTTCCGAAGGTGTTTGAAATGACACCGCTGATACATAGCTTTGTTGTGGTTTCTTTTTCACTTTTACGTAGTGCACAAAATAAAAATTATTTTGTTTTCAAACAATTATGCGGCCATTTTTAATCAAAAGTAACGAGTAACGGGTAAAGTAATTTCGTGGGAGATACCTTAAAATAATAACGACATTAATTTACTCGTTCGGCATTTAAGCTTCGAACGAATACGTTAATAAAAAAAATCTAACGCGTTAGTTGTTACTTGTAACGCGTCAGTTCCAACACTGCCTCTGCAGCGAATACGGCTTCCCGTTTGTCTCCAATCTGTCAACCCTGTTGCTAGATGCCGGCACAGTTTAACTCGTTTATTATATACTTCGGAGACGTGAAAATAATTCTTTGAAAGCTCTCTCCCTCTCTCTCTCTCCCTCTCAATGCTGGGTCCAACGACAACAGCCAAAACGAGTAAAAATCCCTATCGCGACGACAACCGACGAGGCACAGATGAGACCAATCACAAAGTAGAGAATAAAAAAAGACCTGAGATGAGAAATAGGCTAAGAGGCAAACAGTATAGAGGTTTAGAATAGGGGCCCCAACGCTTTGGGTTCCCCAAGCAGCTTGACGCGTCGCACTGGACATGTGCACAAGTTCTGCGCTCGCGCAATGCGATGCCCCGGGCTGCTTGAAGGACCTGTAGTGTTATCGCTCCTGCGGTAGAACCTAAGACGCGCGTGACTATCAGTTATCGCGCTCTACTGTCTGCTTCGAGGTGACTCGTCGTAGGAGTGCTGCGCACTGTTGTTGTCATGTGACCTGATATGTGTCTATATATGTGGGTGTGGCAATAAACGGGGCACTTCTTGGTCTGGGCCCCAAGTTGGAAGTCTTGCCTTCATCCCGGAGCAAACGCGACATGGTGTCAGAAGTGGGATGACACCAGTGTT